ATTTTACCTGGCACAGAGGTAAGGCTGACTGGTCTGTAGTTCCCTGGGTTGTCTTTGGTTCCTTTTTTAAATATGGGGGTTATGTTCCCCCTTTTCCAGTCTGTGGGAACCTCACTGGACTGCCAGGACCTCTCAGATATGATGACTAGTGGCCTAGCAACTTCAGCTGCCAATTCCTTCAGGGCCCATGGATGTATCTCATCAGGTCTATGGACTTGTGCACCTTCAGGTTCTCTAGATGTTCCTGGACCTGATCTGCTCTTGCCCTGGGTGGTTCTTCACTCTCTCAGACCCAGCCAACACCCACTGTGAATTGAGTGGTGTGGTTTGAGTGGTTGCCATTGAAGACTGAGGCAAAAACTTGTTGAATATTTCAGCCTTCTCCACGTCCTCTGTAACCAGGTCACCTGTATCCTTCTAGAGAGGCCCCACATTCTCTCTTGTTTTTCTTTTTTCTCTTACGTACTTGTAAAATGTTTTTCTATTATTTCTAATATCACTGGCCAGATCTGACTGTGTCAGGGCCTTAACTTTTCTAACCTGGTCTCTGATTACATGAGCAACTTCCTTGTAATCATCCCAGGTTACCAATCCCTGCTTCCACGCTTCGTGTGTTCCCCTTTTGTATTTGATTTTCGCCAGGAGTTCTTTATTTATCCATATAGGTCTCCTGGTGTTTTTGCCTGATTTCTTCCTTTTAGGGGTGCAATGCTTTTGAGCTTGGAGGAGATGATCCCTGAAAGTCAACCAGCTCTCTTGGGCTCCCAGTCCCTCCAGGGCTTTATTCCATGGCAACTATCAAGGAGGTTCCTGAAGAGGCAGAAGTCAGCTCTTCTGAAATCAAGGGTATCAAGCTTGCTGAGCTTCCCCCTCTTAGCTGCCCTTAGGATCTCATACTCCACCATCTCATGGTCACTGCAGCCAAGGCTACCCATGAGTATAACATTACCCACTAGCCCTTCCCTATTGACGAGAACAAGGTCTAACATGGCCTCTCTCTTCATTGATTCCTCTATTATTTGGATAAGGAAGTTATCACCAATGCATTCCAGGAATCTCCTGGATTTCTTGTTCCCTGCTGTGTTGTTTTTCCAACTCATGTCAAAGTGATTAAAATCCCCCATGAGGACCATGGCTTGTGATTGAGCAGCAACTCTTATCTGCTTATGAAGGGCCTCGTCCACTTGGTCCTCCTGGTTGGGTGGTCTGTAGCACACCCCAACTTTAAAGTCTCCTACCCTTCCTTTCACCCTGGTGATCAGCACTATCACTATATGGAAACCATACAGTTATTAAATCCTTTAAAGATATGTTAGTAATACAGCTTAGATACTTTGGGATTTCATTCTCTGACTTGAAAACATCTCTCCGTTAGTCAGATGTTGTAGGAATCTTCCATGCAGGCAAATGTGATTTCCTTACATATGCAGAGAAGGTTGGAATACGTATTCTCTGCAGAACCTCAAATAACTCATACAGCTGTAAGTTATGCTTTCCAGGAATTAGATTATTTCCCTGCTGGAAAAAGACATAGACAGTTTTATTGCATTACAGACACTGCAGTTTGTATAAATCAGTTTTTTAATTTTAAAACTTACATTTAATTACATGTCCATTAAGAGCTATTTTAACATGCAAAGCAGTAGTATGAGAAATTTTCAAATCTGCAATGGTTAGTGTGCTTTTGAAGAGACCATTTTCAGTGTTCTTTTTAAATAAGTTTTATAAATGTATTAAATTTAGTTCTCGGTAAATGTCCTGCTTCTTTCTTGTTCTCTGGAGAGTCATATTTATAGATTTTCAGCACTGAGCCCTGTCAGAAAGAATAAATGTCCAGCCTCTGCTCTACCTGTTCTTCAGCATGATCAGCTTGTAATCACAAAGCACGTTGCAGATTTCTTTATATTTTTGATAGCCCTGCTGGCAGTCTGGTAAGAATCAAGACAGGAGAAGAAGAGAGGACATGTGATGTTAACTTACAGGGAGGTGGAAGAAAAAGAATGTTTTCTGACAAGTGGTTTGCCCATGTTAAAGCATTCCTCACGCATGAGTGGTTTTCTTGGATGGCACTTCCTGTTCAAGATAGGGCACTCTTGGCTACTAGTGATGTGGTGAGTGCTCTGTCACACATATCAGGCGTAAACAAAGAGTTATGCTTATTGCATAACCAAAAGCATCACACTTAATAGGTCTGATTTTTAAAAGAAATCACAAACTAATTTAAGTGAAAAAAGTGAGATTTTATCTTCGTAATTTTCTGGTGGACTGAGAGAATGAGTTTGAGTTTGTGTATTAAGTATACACCAAAATATTTTATGCAGACAAGCAAACTATTAGATGAGGCATATATTACTTTGTACTATATTTGCCTATTCTGTCAAAATAGTTTTCATATACTCTTGTAACTCTTTTGGTTTTGAAAATAGGAAGAAACCGACTGAATTAATTATTTGTACCAGTGTTTATGAGACCAGATACATTCATCTGGTGTGCAAACTGACAGTTTCAACATATAGGTGCTAAATAAAACTAGTGGACCATAATTAGTTCTCACAACCATCAGACCACTTCTTCTTGCTTCGTGATAACTCTCTGTTAACACCAGATTAAATGACCACCAGTCTGTTCCTGCAGGGTGACAGAGGGCAGATGTAGCAGCTGTCACACCATTCCCCTTCAACTACAGGAATTCAGGCTGTGGAAGAGAGGAAGAAGTCCAGTCCATCTTAATAGGTTCACAACTGCTGGCTTCTAGAATTTTTTCTTGGCAAATTGGTAACCATTGTAGAATGCAACACCTTTCCAACTCGCAGCAGGGCTAGATAGTCGTGAAAGCTGCACGCAACAGTATTCGTCTGACTGTATTCATAGTTACAGCTAGGTACTTGACTCACACAAAGAAGTATCCTCTTACAATATAAGTAAATATCTCATCAGAAATCATGAAATCATAAATAAGTCATTTGAGATGATGGATCATCATTGTGACCTTGACAATTAAAAGTGTCTGCGGCTAGAGATGTGAATTGCCTCAACCCATTACACTGCATGCAAAAGTAATACTGGATGGTGCATTCTGTGATAACAGAAAATCATGGAATTCAAAAATGATTCAAATTTATGATCTCTGAAATGCTTTATGCCTTACACTTTGGATGAAGGATTTTTTTCCTTCTGTTTTCTTATCACTAGGTTGAAAAGAGTTTTTGTGGTTTCTGTTCGCTTTCAGCTGAAACAGATTAAACCACAGCTTTTCGAACCTGTGTATACACTAACTTGAAAAGATAAAGTTGTATGACCCTATAAAAAACATTTTACATTGTGGTACCGACACAGCAGAGCTTTAAAAGAAGGATAACATACCTTTATTGGATTGTGCAGTTAACTAGAAATCTTTTTTTGTTTGTTTCCCTAAAGGAATTCCAGTCGATGTTGCAGTCAACATCTTCATTAACAGCTTTGGGTCAATTCAGGAGACAACAATGGTAAGACCAATATGAAATTAATATAGCACACATGGAGATTGACTCGCTAAATTAAATTTCAGGACAAGGATTGGGAACTATAAAGTAGAAATGATTGTAGACACTGACAACTGAGTTAATGGTGTTAGTGATAGACTGACTGTGCTTTATACCATAAACCTATTCATCTTACTCTATATTTGTCCACAGGTTGTTATATCTCTTAGAATCTGATGTACATGAAAGGAAATCAATGGCTTCTAAGATGGCCTTTCCATAAGTTGATAACTTACTTCCATAAATTATTTAAGCTCAGGGGAAAAATACATCTGGTAGTGTGAATTAAGTAATCTTTCTGAGACTTAGTATATATGTTGTATTACTAAAGAAAATACTAGAACTGTATATGAGAGGAGTGTACATGCATAAGGTTGAAGCATACAGGTTCTCTTTTTTATAGAGATCTGATGACAGAAGTAAATCATGGAGAAACAGAAGGAGGAATAAAGGAGTAGACCAGTAATGACCATACTTTTATTCCTGTTTCCTTACTGTGTGGGACAGAAATTGAGAGTGAAGTTTCTAAAGATGTGTTTCCAGTTCAGTCAGAAAATTTCGACATGTCAGTAACAGCATCAGATGATCCTCATTACAGTTTTGACTTTTTTTGTTTCTTTTTTAAGTAAAATCTATTTCAAAATCAGAACTAATTCCAGTAAAGCTCTTACTAATATTTTGGGATTTGGAGATTTTTTTTTTCTGATCATGTTTCCAGTTAATACTGTCAGAAGTATTGCCCCCTCAAATTACATTTAATTGTTGAAGATATTCTGACCTGATCATTTTTTTTTCTTTTGTGTAAAAAAGAGGGGATTACGCCATATCTTGCCAGTCCCTGGGAAGCCACAAACAGGGCATGCCCTCAGAGTGAAAGTTTTCAGGTTCTCCTTGAGCATCCCATTTAGAAATAACTTTGCTAATCTACTGCATCCAGAGCATTGAGGCAGTTCCCATAATCAGGCTGCTTGGGTTTTTTTAATACTGTGGTGACATTCCTACTTGTAATAACACAGAAGCAGTAAACTGTAATAACAAACCACCTTTTATTGTCGGTGGAAGAAAATACCCACTTAAAATTCAGGTTACATGATACCTAAATGACACTTCAGTAGGACTGCAGAGCCACTCAAAAGTTAAATGTATGTGATGACTGGAACTGCTTTTGAACAACTTGACAAGAAATTTCATTTTGTTTAACTAGGAGTAAAGGATTTAGATTTAATTGCAAATGTTTGTAAGTCAACTAATGGCATTAGTAGGAGGTGATACTAAAACCAAGAATGTAGGTATGCTGAAGATACTTAGAGATTTATTTCCTGAAAACAAAAAGGAGACTGAAGTTTAAAGAGGTGCAAGGAGGGAGAGCGGGAAAGTAGGAGTGAGATAAGTGTCTAAGAAGGCAGCTGTATTAGGCCAGATGTCCCTTTTAAGTTTCTGAAATTTATTGCATGCTTAAAAAATTACTTTTACAAAGACTTTTTAACAATTCACCCAGATCCAAACAGCAACAAAGCATGAATGTAAGAGGTGTGCTTCATCCCTGCCAAAATTAAATATGCTCTCTACAGCAATGTGTATATATCTGCCTGTGAGTTCCTGATATGATCACTGACAAATTTACTAGGATGTTCTGTAGGATAAGTCATGCTCTCCTCCATATTTCAGAACTTCAGACAACATCTGTAGTTTAATTTATGCTTTTGTTTAAATTAATGTGTTCAGCTGATCACCATGATAGCTAAGTGTGTTTATGTGAAATTCGGATTACTTCTTAGTTGCCTTAATGTATCATAGGAAGCACTGACAAAAGAAATAATCAACATTTTCTTCTGTCTATCACTTGGGAAACTCTTCCTGCTCCAGTAGGCATTGTGTCCTGTAGATATTCAGGAACCACTGCTCTCTTGGGGATAGGCTGGTACTTGTATTCAGATTGTTTAGGTAATGCACTAGGCAGTAGAGGCAAGTCTAAGAAAATCCTTGTTCTTCCAGAATCAGAGGACAAGTGTTTCCTGGAGCTGAGGCACCAAGTCTGTGAAGGATCAGAGGGGCCTCTGACATTCAGAAAGAAGAGACATTTGCATGCAATAACAGAACTACTGAAAAAGGTTCCTCAGGCTGGAGAAGAGGGTGTCTCTCTGCAGCTCTGCTGTCTCAGGTTTTGGTGTGAATCACAAGGACTATTGATCTCTTGACTCTCTAAAGTTACCAGAAGCTACTAAACTAATTGGACTGATATCACTACTGATACCAAAATCTGTGAAATAATACATTTCTAAGTATTTCAGTTGATCAAATATGGTGATGACTCTTTGCTCTTTAGCCACTTCTGGCAGTAATAGCTGAATTCATAGGTTTTTGCAAAATCTATGTGGGGGTAAAGAGTCCTGTTTTCCCCATGTTAAAGGGAAGATTCCTTCTTTTGAATGGTGGAAGGGTGGGGAAAAATAACGCTGGGTCCCAGGTGATTGGGAGTGAGGTGGTGGTACAAGGCCCAACAAACATATGTGTGGAGTGCCGATAGGAAAAAGCCATTCAGCATGCTGATCTCCTTTTTTTCAGAAGGATATTACAAGAGATGCAGAAGGAATTACCTTCGGGTGGATGTCCTGTATCCTACCCTTAGACCCCTCTCTGAAGTAGCCAACTCTTAGCTTGATGTCTGGAACTTCCAACTAGTGAACAGGCTCTCACAGTGTCCCTCGCCTTGACATCATGGTGGCTGGTTTTAATCGTTCTTCATGTATTTCAGGGATACTACATAATTATTTTTAATTATTTTTTGCTTGCTGTCTTTCTGGTCCTACGATGATTGAATTCTTTGCTATACAGTTGGCTCAGCCTCAACAAAAAAGATTAGACATTGCCTCCCACTGAGGTAGAGTCTACTTGGTTCTAAGAGAGGATGGAATTTCTTTACAGAAAGCATTAACAGGTTTGAAGTAATGTTGGTTTCAAGCAAAATAGGACCCATAAGTGTGGATCCTATTGCTTTAATCAAGCCCTTGTGAAGAAACTGAAGGGCAAATATTTGCTACTTGTCTAGAAAGGGTAGTTTTCATGTTGTGTTGTTGAATTGAGAATTGTGATGTTTTCATGCATATATCAAACAAGTTACCTGGGAAAACTAAATAAAAATTAGTTAACTACAGATAGAAGAATAAGAATAAGAGTAAGAGCAAGTAAAAATAAGAATAAGAATAAGAATAAGAATAAGAATAAGAATAAGAATAAGAATAAGAATAAGAATAAGAATAAGAATAAGAATAAGAATAAGAATAAGAATAAGAAATTGAGAACTTACACCAGAGCTGTGACCTTCCAGTATGCTCTCCATATCTTGAATCCTGCTCATTAGGATCCCCATGATAACTCTGCTTCTGATTTTGCAGTTATTTTTTAGACTGCAGATTTTTGGGATAATATGGTTGCTATGTCACATTTAGAAATTGTTATGAACTGAATGACCAGTCAATTTTTTTAAGATCCTTTATGATATGAATACCCAGAGGGCTATAAGATTTTAGCTGTGCTGCTGATCTGACCCTCTCTCTACAGAATCTATATTCAAGGTTTGTACTTGCAGTGTAACCTTTCTTCACTGTCTCAGGTGGCAAAACACCACTTCCTCCTTCTCTTTTATTTTAAAACCTTGTAGAAAGGTCTTTTTAATATTTATGTATACAAAGGAAAATTAGGTTTCCATATTTTAATCTAAAAAATGCCATTTTCTGCTTTATTAAAAGACAATACTACAATGCTTCCTTTCTTTGTATGAGTGCAGTTTGTGTAGGAAAAGCCTTTCATGATCTTCGGTGTGCTCCAGTTTGCAGAGAGAGAGATGAACTGGCTATGCCTGATTTCTGGCCTGAGGAGTTTTTCTGGCCACATGCCCACTGTTTAGTGGGTTACATGTGAAATATTTCCTAGAATGCCTCCCCTTTCAACCTCCCTGAAAACAAGTTGCCTTCTGTTGGAGTTTGATGGGAAAACAGAGCCCTGTGGAATACTTCTCTGATTCTCTTCACCTGCTAGGTCCTACTAGCTCTAATGCTGATGAGTATCTCTTCCATCCTCCAGTCACAGTTTCAGGGTTTTTAATTTTTCATGTGACTCTTTTATTCTAAAATGCTGGTGATTCTGCAATATGCAAAGAATGTTTGTAAAATGTATAGGAGGAAAACTATGTGCTTCATGCAGACCGCTTCTTTAGCCCTTATTAAACCCAATTGTAGCGCACACACTGAATCTTAAAATTCATTGCCCAAGTTTGAGAGGACTGGTTGCAGACTTATTTCCAAATAGATTCACACCAGATCATTGTCTATACTGCTGCCAGATGCTGTAATAGTTTGTATTCTTCCAAAAAGAAGTCCTTCTGCACTTCATTGTCCTGCTAGCCACTGTTTTGTATCCTGTCGTCTCTTTACTTCCTTCTGCATTTTCTATATTGTCTCAAGTGTATGGTGGCCTTCCTTCCCAAATACTCCCTTGTCGCAAGTTTTTAGTCATTTAGATAGGTCTGAACCTACCTATTTCAGATTAATGGGATTTTTCTTCCATTGACTTAATTGTGAACAGAGTCAAGTTCTTAAAATGTGACAACAGCCCATTGTTTGGTATATTTAAGTTGATTTGTAATAGAGCAAGGAAGGAAATGAAATAGCATCCACCTGATCTTACTTACAATTCTTATTTTGCTAGTGCATTCTGCTTTTCAGTGATGTAAACATCTCCTTCCTCTGAATGGGTAAGCTGAAGGCAAGTGTTGGACACTGCTTATCATTTGCCTATGGCTTTGATAAGGCATCTTATTTTGTTAAACTTAGGGTAATACACTTGTTTATGGGGAAATTAATTCTGATGTAGCGAATAGCGTAATGCTTGTGAGCATGAATGGTATGCAGTATTTATTTCATAAGGTTTAAATTAGTTGTTTTCACTGAGACAAGAAGTGCATGTGGAATGGGAGCTTCAGCAAGAAGCAAGTAGATTTTCAATTATATACATATAATTGAAACGATGCTTTCTGAGATAATGGCCTGAATTCCCTCCTGTTCTGAAGCTTCTCTATGAGAGCCTTTCAGTACAAAGTTACTTCGTATTAACTAATATTCTGTACTTCTTCTTTACTTTGACAAGATAATGTAGGTCTTTGTATAAATGTCAGACTATATATATTTTTTTTGAAAACGGATTGCCAACAAGTAACGTATCTCTCCGAACTATGCAAATTAATAAATAGTGCCTTAGTTTTTTCTTAGTTTTGATCCTTTGCTTCTCCTTCCAATGCAGTAAGGAAAAATATTGCACTATACAGTGTAATAAAGAAATAGCCAGGCTGGTCTAACTGGGGAACTCAACATGGGAAAGCGGGTGCCATACTTCAATTAACAGGGTAAATCAACAGGGTACATTATTGTGCATGAGGTTTTAGCCAAGCGAACTCCTTCCTGTTGGAGTTAGCATGACTGTCTCAGCATAGAATCATAGGATCACACTTGCTTTGGGCTGTATATGTAGTCACTGTAGTAAGTATAGCAGAAGAGAACTCATGCTGTACCAACAGAAAAATGCATGAGGGCATTAATGTGTGAAACAAACAAGTTTAGTTTATAATGCAAAATACGTTAACAAGCCAAAAATATGTTGAGAACCTTCACTCACAGGTCTCTAGCGTTGTGTTTTCATTGCTGTGAAAGACAGCTATTAGGATGCTTTGTACCTAATGGACACATTGTGAAGAAACAAAACACATGACAGAACACAAGTAGTAAGAATGGAGATGCGTATAGAATTTTGGCTTATTTGCTGGGATATTTTACTTTTTCAACAATACTTTTATTTTCTTTCTGCATGTGATCTGCCTAGTTTACATATACATGAGGAAGAGGCACTGGCTTAAATGTAAATGTAAAAAGCAAAAAGACTTAGAGGTAAGAATGAAAAATCATAACTGACATACTGGGTCAGATTTTTCTTCTCAATGCACACAGCTTTCACTAAGGACAGAATGCATGCGGGTATTGTTTTGCCCAGAGACACATGCTACTCCAGTTGCCCAAGGCAAATTTAGGTTCTCGTTGAGCGTGGCTCTACTACTGTCCATCCCTGAGCAAGAGTACTGCTGAATCCAGAAGGAAGTTTCCTCTGTTTAAAGCTTTGATTTTTAATCTTTGAGACCCATTCTGTTTCTGCTTCCTTACACGCCACCTCAGTACCTGTATTGCACCCTCGCATCACTTCTCCTCAGTTACCAAAATAGTCCCAAATCACTGTTACAAGCCCTGAGGCAGTACTCTGGGTGTGTAGTGTAAAATCTATTATCTACCTGGTCTGCTTTTATAGTGTGATATTTTGCCATCGGTGTGCCACTTAACCAAATGGAGAAGAAGCTGGCATTTCCATTCACAGGATATCCTGACAGAAGTGATATTGTGCCTGCTGCCTGCAGCAATTTAGCGTAGTCAAGCTGTGGCCTCCTTCTGCCCTGCTGCATGCCTTTAAGCCTAGGTAACAGGAGGCTACTATCAAGGGCATGCAAAAATGATTTGGGGGAGGGACAAGTTGATCTTCTCTTAAAAAAACGTTATTGTGTTCAAAACAGGAGTGAGACACAATCTACCTATTTTTAGTTAAAACTACATGTGTAACACTTGGTAATTGTCATTTGAATAGTCATCACTATCTTTGTGATGGAAAGATCAGAGCATAAATTGATTTTCTCTTTGGAGTCTGATAGACTGGTTTTGTTTCTCCGCAGGTTTTTGGCTAGATTTTTGGCTAATTTAATATTTATGTATTCTTCCCCTCAGGATTATAGAGTCAATATCTTTCTAAGACAGAAGTGGAATGACCCCAGACTCAAACTGCCCAATGACTGGAGAGGTTCAGATACACTGACAGTGGATCCAACTATGTTTAAATGTCTTTGGAAACCAGATTTATTCTTCGCAAATGAAAAAAATGCCAACTTCCATGATGTCACACAAGAAAATATTCTTCTTTTTATATTTCGCGATGGAGATGTCCTAGTCAGCATGAGGTATTTTACTGATGTATTTCTTGTCGTTTTTATATGAGGTATATGTGCTGCGTTAGACTTAGTAACATAATACAGTTTGACAGAAAGTTTGAAATTAATGTTGTCCTCTTTTTAATAATTGTCCTGATTTTAATAATACTGTCCTGTCGTCCTGATTTTAATAATACAGTATGTTCATAAATGGTGCATGTGCAGGCAAGATTAATTTATTGAGGCACTCCGATTTGGCAACACGTTATTAAGATGTTCATATTTGAAATATCTAATTTCTATGCCTTGTATTTTTCTAAATGAAAGAATCTGGTTGTCAAGGTACATGGCGAAAAAACGCATATGAGAGAAAGCTCTTGCCTGCGTAAATAGTAAGGATTAGGACACTGAATGTAGGAATAAACAGCTAGAGCTCGTGTGAGGGGAAGTAAGTAGTAGAGTTCAACAGAAAAGCCTCTTCTGGTTCGTATGCTCTTCAACATAAATCATATGGAAAACTGTGAACTGCGAGGCATTTTTGATGATACCAAAATGTTCAGGGTAGTGAAGATAAGAGACAACACTGAGAAATGCAAATTAATCTAATGACTAGGCAACAAAGTATGAGGTTAAATTCAGGTAAATAACTGAAAATTATACATAGTGGAAAAATTATTTTAGTAGAACTCTATAAAATTTTATTCTAGGACTACTAGAGATAGCTCATTTTCAAACTGGTACTTTAATTAAATTTTTCTACTGTTTTAGAGGCTGAAAATCAAATACCTGTGATCTTTATTCTTACTGCAGTTTACTGCATATGTGGCAGCTCACACTGTTTTCAAATTGCATTTCTGTATTTTCAGATTGTCTATTACTCTGTCATGCCCTTTAGACTTGACCTTGTTTCCTATGGATACACAGCGCTGCAAGATGCAACTGGAAAGCTGTATGTAAATCAGTCTGTGCATAAGAACAGTTGCCTTCTAGGCAGGCGTAGGAATCAAACCAAAAATGAATGGTTTCGTGTTTTTCATGTCAACATTTTTAATGAATCTTGAAATTACTATTCACTGGTTCCTATAAATGTTCATTTCCCTATCAAAAACATTTCTTACATTTATGGCACTATGCACTCTTTTTTTGGCTTTTACTATCAAATGTAATGAAAACTGATGAGTTTTATAAAAACTTTTACAATCTTTACAAACTTAGTAAAATGGAAACACGTATCACTTGGAAAAAAGAATCTGTAACTTCCCCAGGTAGTTTTAATTTCTGCAACTTGTGCTGCTTTTTGGGTTGTTGGGGTCCAATTTATCTCTTTGCATTAATGATGTGTGGTGTTGTTTGAAAGTCTTTCGATGTGGTACTGAAGGAAAAGTACCTGATGCCAATAGACGTTTTGCATGAAACTTTTTGAAAGTGGTTGCAAGGTGCGTTGTGGATGTAGTCAGGGATTTCCCACTTACCAATCCTTCCCTGGTCTGTAGGTGATTTGATCTTACAAAGGAGCAGACAGATCCTGTCTCTGAAGGGCTTCATGCCATGCTGGAAGTTACAGCCAAAACGTTTCTGAAACTCCTTTTTCCTGTGCTCCACATACAGGACTGTCGACTCAAGTGCAGCCTTTTCCCAACATTTCAACACCAGTGATCCTGCTTCCAGGGTAATTCTGTTCCTGAGTAAGGACAAGTGTGAAGTGGAAAGAAGGAAAGTGGCTTGCTCCAGCCCCTTCCTGCTATAATAAAAAAATATATTCAGTTGTTATTCTTCCAGGTCTGGTGGGGAAGGTGAGGTTAGGGAAGACAAAAGCAAAGAAAAATCAATATTCGTTAAAGCTGAGCGGGGCATCACATTGGGGACAAGGGTAATAATAACAATAGAAATTATATCAGAGCTTTACAGTTTAGTTTTTGTTTGCCAGCATTTACTATTAGAATTGTAGTATGTCCATAGTACTTCTGCCCGTCACAATACGTACACACATAAGCTGAAGTAAACTCTTACGGTAAGCTGAAATCAGTTTGGGGTTAAACTGAAATTAGACAGTAACTTTAATGCTAGTTTGCTCAAGCTTTCTCAGTCTGGGTTGCTTTATAAGCATTGCAAGGTATAGTTATTCAAGGAAGAACTACTCTTAAAAATTCTCAATAACTTCGTTTAAACAATCTTATTGTCTCTCCATGCTTAAGCTGATATATTCAAATTCAGGAGGAATTTGCCCCTTTGGACAGATAGTGTGCACCAGATTTTCTTCTACCCTTTAAATCAGTTGTCAAAAGTAACAGTGGCACCCGTGACCACCTGTTTGTCGCTCCAGTTCCTGTTAGCTATTGACAGTTTTATTCTACTTAAGTTATTTTCAGATATTTTGTTTCTAGTTGCTAGATTTCCAAGATAAAAAAAGGGAACCAGGCCACCACTAAGCTGTTCTTATATCTGCAGTTATGATCCCCAGTTCTACACATTCACTATAGATAAAATTTTCACTGTCCAGTAATTGTTATTGTAACAGATCTTGGCAGTTCCATGATTTGCTGTATGTTGTAAAGGGATGAGACTGATTTTATGAATGAAGCATTAAAACAACTACATTTTTTTTTACATTATCTTCCATCATGGACCTTTGAGACATTGTGATTTTTATTAAGTTGTTGTATGAAAAGCTAGCTTATGAATAGTTTATCTTTTTTAATCACAACCGTTATTCAGAGGCAAAAAAATATCTCTCTCATGCCTCTAGGAAAAGAATAGTTCTTTAAATCTTTTCAGAGGCTTTAAATTGCAAAACGCTGCATTCCAATTCCATTTTTTTTTATGTTTCCCCATCTCTATTCCCATTTAACACACATTATCTCTGTTTGAATTAAGTTAATCCTGAGTAAACAGAAGGTAACAGAAAAACGGCATGTAAAGTCACGATTATGATCATGATTGTTTAATCAGTATTGATTTATGCTTGAATATTGCAAACCTAACTTTCACTGCCTCTCACTTGATGATGTTGTATATGTCCTGATTTAGACACTCAGATATATGCTGAAGTCTGTCCATGCTCCTGAAGGCACTGAATTGATTTTAGTAGGACTACACATCTGCTTGAAGTTCCTGTTTGGGTGTTTCCTGAATGGGAATGCTTTCATGAATCAGGACCTTTAATCTGAACAACTAAGTGGAAACGTTGTTTTACACAAAACCCAAGATTCATCAGAGTAATTGAGTTGTTAAATTCTTTTGAAGTTGCTAGGGGTTGTGAGTGCTGTTCAGTGTATTTTTCATGCTTTGCCGAAGTAAAGTATGAATTAATAGGGAGGCTTCAAAGCTGTGGAGAATGGAGCTCTGCTTTCTTTATTTAAACAGTAGGCACTGTAACAAAAACTTCTTAATAAGTGTAGTATTGCTGATAATGTAATGTTCCACCCACCAAGTCCTAATTTAGGCCTACATAAAAATTCAGTTGTGGATTATTTCATTTTTGTATTTAATTCTGTAAACTGGGCATAGAAGAAGAGTGAAAGAAATATAATACATTGATGCTTGATTTTCTTGCAAATTTTACTCTGTTTGAGATGGTTCTTTAAGCAATTATTATTATTATTTTGTTCTTGTAGTTGGTTACACAACGGATGACTTACGGTTTATCTGGCAGTCTGGTGATCCTGTACAGCTAGAGAAAATTGCTCTGCCTCAGTTTGATATTAAAAAGGAGGATATCGAATATGGTAACTGTACCAAGTATTACAAAGGCACAGGTAGGTAATATAAATGATTTCCTTGCTAAAAAACGTTAAGCTTCCTTCAATTACTGTTTATAATTAGTATTCCAGTTCATGTCTTACATTTCATGGGATAAAATAGATTACTTTGATCTGAAAAGTAGTTCGTATAATAGTAACTATCTGTTTCTTGAAAATGCTTCTAAGCTAGATCCCAAGTCTAAAGAGCTCTCAAATAACCTCAGTAGATCTCAGAGTTATGGAATTATTATTTTTTTAATTCCTACATTTAACTAATTTAAGGTAATGAAAATTGAAGTGAGGTTTGTTTTTTAGCTGTGAAATACACAAATTCTTAGCCTAACTGCTCAATTCAGCATCTTAGGTGATTTACCATTTGTAAATAGTATGAAGGTAACTCCCCTCAGGAAAATTCTATATTTGCGAAAGCACAAGCAGCAACTGGCAGTGACTGCATTCCAGTCTAAGTTGGGATATGGTAGAAGCTTACTTAGCAGTGCAGAAAATATTTTATTCTTAATTAAACAATGAATTTAGTGAGAAAAATAGACTATAAAGTCGACAAAAATTAAGGGATGGATCTTGCAACTCCCAAATGAAATTCATACTGATAAGAAGATTGGAAAATCTACATTCTGTTTAAGGGAAGAATGAAATACTCAAGATTGCTATCTTGTTGCTGAAGTTAACATGAGTATTTTGAGTTTTGCCCTGAATCTACAATTGGATGTCTAATAAAATCTTTGAATATTGTAGGTGTTTTTAGGAACCTTAAAGAAAAATCTCAGAATTGTACACTTTGCCATTAAACAGGAAAGAAAATTAGCATTGTTTTCTCAAGTTTCAGCACCTGTGACCACAAGTTAAAATGACATTGTGCAAAATCCTCATCAATATGGTCACATTTTGAGTGCATGTAAGTGATTTGCACATTTTAAAAAAGAACGAGAGCTGTCAGTGTGTGGAGTGATAACATGAAGTTTTTTAAAGTTTTCATAATTATTTTATTGCAAATCCTTAAGAACATCCGTGTTAACCTCATGATCAAGACTAAAATTAGCACTTCTTTAATGTGAATGGAATATTTTAGTACTCTAGTATTTTTGAAATGTGTTTTCAGTAATCAGTAGTTGTTTGATTTACTGTAAATTCTTATATTGAAGATATTTTTAAAAGAAGATTTTGCACACATCGTTAAAATTGATTAGGTCAAGGATTTTGTCAGGTAATCCAAGAGGCAGCATTGTGTGTAGAAGCAGATTTTTAAAATTCTGGCTTATGTAGGATATTCTTGGAAATTAGAATCTTTACTGCCTATTTACATCAACTGGCATTCTAGCATACCTACCTAAGTAGGAAGAGGGTCACCAAATTTGGAGTGACTTTTTGTGGCAATAAACTGAATATTTAAAGTTGATTATTCTTTATCTGTATGTATGACAGATCTGAATAGGACCTTCTGAGCTGAATGGTGATAGCAATAGATACTATTCTCTGCCTGATGAAAGATAATTAAAAGGCTTACAGAATACATTTCTGGCATAAAGGAAACAAACAATGATTCTGAAGGTCGTCCCTCATTTGAAAATAAAATGTAAAAAGTATCTGCAAATTATTCAGAAATTATGGAGGGGAAATTTGACAAACAGACCATTAAAGAGGACAAAAAGAGCTATAAAATACCGTATAGTGTCTTCTACACAAGGAAAATTTTCCCTAGTGTTTTATTCTTTTGCTGTTTTGGTTATTGTATACCCACATAGCACTTTTAAGATGACTTGTCATTCTATGGCATTTAATGGATAAAATATAGAAGAGAAATAGAAGTGTTATTTACAGGTTCTACCTTCTAAATCAATGTTGCACCCACTTGATTGATAGATATAAACTGATCTGAATTTTGAAATTGTTGTAGTGTAACACAGTTGCCTTTTCCCTATGATAGCATAGCTTATGAAGTTACTTTGGCAGTTCTATTGTGTTAATGTTATCATAAATATGCCAATTCTGCTGAGTGACAATATAAAAAGAATTTGTTTTCTGGTTATCGGACTTTCTGATGTATCTGTTATCTCCAGCAAAACCTTTGATCTCTCCAGCTTTATTCTTTATTGAATTCATCTTAACAGATACCTTCTGAAACATTTATGTGCTTTAGATCCTCATTTTAAAAGATTTGAGGCAGTGTTCCTTGGTTTAAAAATTTACAGTGTTTTTAGAGTCTCTTTTTAAAAGTCTATACCACTTTTAGAAGTCACCTGTACCAGCTGTCACTGCTGGGGAAATCTCTGCTTAGAGTCACATTCAGATCACCTCTTTTACGCTCTAAACTTTCTACACTAATATTTCTTAATTTCATCCACAAATTAATGCTAAGTAGGATTTTCAGATGACCTTAGGCTAGTGTGACTTCAAGTTCCAGTTGGTTTTACCTGGACTGCATCTCGAAGCCAGCATCAGGATGAGAGACACCTTAACTGCCTGTTACTGATGTGCCGTGAATAGACGAAGGGTGACTTACAGAGCACAGGGAGTACCCCATGCCTGGCCATGCTTAGCCAGGTTATGGAGATTTGTATTTTGAACATTTTTTTTTCCATATTGAACTCTTTGCCTGTATAAAGAAAATCAAATCATTGAACTTTTGCTTTTAACTTAAATAGAAAAAGGCCTGGAAGATACAGACCGGAAGAAGTTGACCTGCAAAGCACATTAAACATTACTGCATTTATTTCTTTAAAGGTTATTACACTTGTGTAGAAGTAATCTTCACTTTGAGAAGACAAGTTGGATTTTACATGATGGGCGTTTATGCTCCTACACTGCTAATTGTTGTTCTATCCTGGCTGTCATTTTGGATCAATCCTGATGCAAGTGCTGCAAGAGTCCCACTGGGTAACCTGCGTTTACACGTACCGTCACCATCCACTTGAATGCCATTGAGCCATTCTCAGTTGCTTTGACAACATGACACTGGGCACTGAAAGCAACTTCACTTCCATTATCCGCTCATCATTTTCACTGAAACCTCTTCATTCCTAGTCCATCTCCACATTAAGACTTTGCTTGATAACGGTTCCAGTGTTTGTGAGATGAGCACCCTGTCTCTGCTCCTCTCAACCCAGACAAAAGTGATCTGACCCACGTACAGGTCATACTGCAGATGCTGTGACAATATACAGTTTATAGGAATTTGAACATTCAACTAATCAGTAAAAAAACAGGAGCATGAGTAAGGTTCTAGATAGCTGCCACTTGGAGCAGCTTTTCTGAAGATTTGAGGCAGTGTTCCTTGGTTTAAAAATTTACAGACAATGATGTCTGGAAGAGAAGTAACATTCTTGTTACTTGATTGGCTTTATTTCATTAGAGACACGGTTCACGAGAGTACTTCAGGCGTATGAATTCATGCTGCTTAGCACAGCGCAGCAGGCAGGCCCTTCATTTATTATGAAATAGTAAGACATGGAGTTAGTCAAAACAGTATTATTTTGACTAATTGGGTTGTACATGGAACTTCTGCTCTGGGGTGGCCAAATCTGCTATCCCCAAGAGCTCAATGAAATGCAGAGCCAAGCTCTTGCATCCTGACACAGATGCTACAACCTCTCCTTCCCCGTGCTTTAGCCTCCCTCTGCTCCCCTTTTCCCTGGTGCTCCCACCTCCCCAAGTCTATACTTTCCAAATCTTTTTTTCCATGTCCCAGGAGATCCAGTGTACCAGCTTTCAGGTCTCCAGTGGTGCTGTTGCAGAATCCTTCCAGCCTACTGCCTTCCTCAGAAACTTCTCACCCACACTTGAATCTCCTCCCCACTCCCCTCCAGGATGCGGCTGCCGTGCAACCTCATGTGCATGAACATGTGTCAATAAGCACTGGAGACCCTTGGAGTCAGGACTTGCCCCATCACCTTACCAGTCTGTGGCTGTGAGCTGCAGAGTCTCACAGCAGTGAGTAGGTGAAATCCATGTTTGAAGAACCAGCTGGAACAGGAACTGTGTTGACTTTTGTTAGGTGGAAAACCTCTCTTCCTCCTGGAGTGATATAACAGGCAAAATAAACTAAAAGCAGCAAAACCCCCATGATTTAAGAATCATGGAATGATTGAATTGTTTATGTTGGAAAAGACCTTTATCATCATCAAGTCCAGGATGTGAAGATCCTTGGATGCCTCCAGAGGAGGGCAATGAAGTTGGTGAAATGACTGGAAGGAATGTCCTATAAGGAGAGTGGCTGAGGACTTTGGGCTTGTGGAGTTTGGAGAAAAGAAGACTGAGGGGTGACCTCCTTGTTCTCTACAGCTTCATAAGGAGGGGAGGTGGAGAGCAATTCCCTCCGGTATCCAGTGCTAGGACATGTGGGAACAGTTCAAACCTGCACCAGGGAGGGTCCAGACTGGACGTTAGGAAGCGTTTCTTTAACATGAGTGTGGTGAAGCATTGGAACAGTTTCTGCAAGAGGTGTTTGATGCCCCAAACCTGTCAGTGTTTCAGAGGCATTTGGGTTATGCCCTTAACAACATGCGTTAACTTTTGGTCAGCCCTGAATTGGTCAGGCAGTTGGACCAAAGGACTGTTGTATGTCTGTCCAGCTGATATAGTCCATTCTATTCTAAAATCTGGAAAACTGAGATTAGTGCTTCTTTTGACTGGGGAGCTGCAGTTGGCTGCCTTGTTCTCATTAAATCTAACTAGAACATTGTTTCATTATATTTGTTGTATCTTTTTTTCTATGGGTCTATTTTCTTTTGACCTTTAAAAATATTAATTGGAGAGGAGGCACAATTTGGATTAGTTTGGTAGCAAGTAGCAAATATAATCTCTTACTTCGAAAAAGCAGCAAGATTGCATTCCATAATGCAAAACATAAGACATTTTAGGAAAATATAGCATGCATTAAGTTAAAAGGATAGAAATGAGAACTGGAAATGTTTTTCACATAGTGAGTTCCCATATGATCAAAACCTGAGCTGTGTTTCTACTTTTATAATCCTGTACTTCACATAGAGAACTAGATAGGATTATTAATTATATATTAGGTTTATAAGAAGCATAGTGCTGATTTATGTAACATGGATGTCTTTGTGGCTTAACATGCATGCTTATTTATTATTTGTTTCATTTGTAATAAGTGTTTATTGGCTTCTTTTATGTATTAGCGTTTTTCAAATAGTGCATTTTCAAAGATACTAACCATTGGCCTGGTTATGTGACTTTTCCTGAATCTCAAAAAAAGCAAGAAAACTCTAAATATGACCACTCTTTAGTCATGAGGAAGTACTTAATACAAGTTATAACACTGTTGCTGGAGTAAGATTAATGTTTCTCCAGTTTGCAGGAGAGCCACAAACTACCTCTTGTAACTATGTCCTTGAAGACAGTTGACTGAAATCTATCAAGATGAACAGTTGTGTGTTGAGTGAATGATAGCTAACCCCAAGAAAGTGTTACCAGTGGCCACTACATTCTCAGTGCCTGGATGCAGATCTCGTCAGATGAGAAGCTACTTCAGATTTACTTGTGAATATCTTCATACAGTCATCCCTAGATTTAAGTATGGTGGGCTGCTGCTCCCCATGGCAAGGCAGTTCAGAAGTTTCTGGGTGATTTAGGAATTGAAGACACTTTCTAAGCTAGTAAACAGGATATATTCATGTAGACTGATTAATGTAGTGGGAAAAAGATGTTTGAAGAAAAAGCCTGTATCCACATAGGGACTAAGTTGCAAGCCATCTTTATGCCTGTATCATTTCACCAAACTAATTCATCTGGTGATAGGAAAGTCCATAAAAGATTGGTATCTGGACAGCTGTGATTAAGCAATGTAAAGGCTGATATCACTGAACGCTTCTGTCTAAGTAAATGCTGGTGTTTCACCTTTTAAAGAGCCTGTCAGAGGCCTCTCCAGTTCTTTACGGGTGGAAAGCATGCCAGCATCTGTTTAAAAAAATGCTTTCTTTACTGCCCTGTGATCCTCAAAGGGAGTAAGACCTTCCCTGGATCTGCAGGAGTCAGGGATATCAGACTTGTGACCACCTGCAGCAGCCTGGCAGCATGGAGCATTAGGCTAGAGTGCAGATGGGGGTACAGCAGTGTAACTTAAAGCCTGGAGTAGTGATCACTGATAGATTCCCCACCTACAAAGGGCAGGTAGGTCTGCAGCTGGCCACGCTTCCCGCCGTCACTCCTGTCCACAGGTCTGTCTTCATTCTAGGCATTTCATTTTTAAAAAAATTGTAGCAAAGGTAGGGTCTCAAAGGAAAGACATAAAGATACATGTTAAAAATGTAGTATGAAAAAGGGTTGGCAAGTTTATGAAGTTTAATGAGAGAAGAGAATGTATTGGAGATACTAAGTTATAAGGAGAGCAAGACAGTATATTACCTTTTTCAATAATGTTAGTGAGATGAAGCCAGACATTTTTAAACACTAATATAAACCAGAAAATGCTATTTTATGTGGCATGTAATTAACCTATGGAATTCACTGCCAGGAGATAGTGCTGAAGCCAGTAAGTATGATGGTATTTATTTATTTGGCAGAATGTGCTGAAGTCGTTTTCTGGACTGGCACTTTCAGATGTTATCCACATGTAAACTTAGATAATGTTTTAAAAGTAGTAGCTCTATACAGTCATGCTTTAGGCTAGGAGCTTACTACCCTTACTGATAAGCTCAACTTTGCTATCAAGAGGGATGCCACACTAAAGGCAAATATGCGGAGATATTTCCTAGAAAGGCCAAATTTCCCTTTGCAAGTGTGGAGGAAGGAGCTCTGTCCCTTCTCCTTAGTGCTCCCTGAGAAGAAAAAAATGCCTTTTTTTGTTTCCTTTTTTTTTTTTAATAAGTAATCTTGCAGTTTATTTGTTCATTCTCTTCATTCATGTTTGAGCCTTGAGCTTTGGACTGTGTTAGGTAGGTATCTAGTGTAGCTACTGCCAGAGATGCAAATTACGACTCAGGGTCTTGAAGGCCCTGCCAACTCTGATCTGGAAGGAAATCATTGCTTAATAGAATATTTCTGTGCTTCTATCTCACTTTATTGTCACCTTGAAAACCTAGAAGTTTCTTGGACTCTGAGAATGGACTTTTCATCCTAAAAATCCAGACAAAGGGAAATTAGTGACATGTTCACTGTGACCTCTACTGAACAAATTTGTGAAAACTCCACTAAAATCCTTTGAGCTAGTAGAATTTATAAGTTAGTTTTGTAGAATTAAATCAAAGATTTTAAGAACTAATATTTAAGCTCTGCAGAGTGGTTGTACAAATGTACAAGGCATGAAAATAATACTTGGATATTCAGGTAGTAAACACTTCTGAAGTTAGTAGAAAAAAATTACAATATCCAAGATGTTAAGCCAGTCCATATCATAGGCTAATTTGGTTATTCAGTGTAGGGACAAAGATTTTATCTCAGCATAGTTATGCACAGTGCTTGCTACAATACACTTACAGAGCAAACAACAATCTGGGCATAGGTAGGGGTGTCCTATATATGTTAAGAGGCAGTACAGCCTTACTTGTGCTTGTTACTGCAGCTCTTATGATCCATAATTAATGTTCATCCCCAGACAGCTGGTGCTGGTCAGCAAAAATAAAATTTTTAAGAAGGGGACTGTTCTATGCTCTATTTCTATCTTTATGGGAATGTTTGTACTTGAATGCTTCAGATACAGTAGATGAAAAATAACCCAGAGTAGACACTGAGCATTGTCTGTTCAGTATTTGCCACACCATTCTGATCTGAAATAGCACATCTAGCCATTCTGTATTATGCCAATGGACAGAAAATCCACCTTTGCAATGATAGGTTGATATTACACATTCCTAAATAAAATATCATAAAATGTTATCTTCTAAAATCATATGACTGTAATAATTTCTTTATACTTTCTCTTCAGTGTCTTAGTAGCTAGGAAATTTTCCATTTAAGATTAGTACAAGATGAATTATCATCCTAATCTCACCAAAATCCAAATGGAAACAGTAGCAAAAGAATGGTGTGTTATTTATGATCAGCTAGAATTGAATACTTTCATAGGCCAATACAGATACTTGCAGTTTTATTAACATTTTCATATCCTTAGTTACTTAAAATACATCTGAAGAAAATGATCTTTCATAAATTTTTCATGTGACCAATATAGGAAACATAGTTGAGACTAACTGAATACCTCCTTTTGGCCGACATTTTCTGTAGACATCCATTACATTTCATGAAGCTGCCCACTTATAACTACAGATTTTTGTCATTAGCATTCACAAAACCAAAATGGGTCATTCTAATCTGGGAGGTGGAACTAACTTTTCCCCACATGACAACTTTTTCTAAAGTTAGGTTTTTCCAAATGTAGCCAGCCATTCGTGCTACTGTTTCCTTTTCATAGGAGCCTGTGGGAAATCTTTCTTTGCGATCAGGCTTGTATTTTGTCCCTTGTGATGTGAGCCCTGAGTTGATGGTGACATTTGGAAGCCTTGTCAGGAGAAACGCTTGTTGAAACCCAGTTTGACGACGAATGTGACCTTTCAGCAGCTTTTGCACATGTGGGGTTTTTTTTTCATTATAAGGGCTTCCTGAAATGCCCTTTATCTAGAAAGCTTCCTCTAGATACTGGAAGCTGAATAGAGGAGGATTGTAGACCCTCAGTCACCTCAGTGTTTTTATCTTTGCAGTGAATTGGGAACACAGGCTTTTTAATGCACTAGTGCAGCTTTGCTCTTCAGCAAAAACTTCCCTTTCAGCTCAGGTTTGTGTATCACAGCTGTGGATAGGTCATTCAAAGAATTGCTCCTGCTGTCACACATCTCAGATTTCTGGGAGAACAGTATTCTAATTTAAAGGACTTGCAGTATTTTACTTTAAATATCAAGTATTCCTCTTCCATCTTGCCAGGCATAGTTCCACATTGTAAGATAAGTTTTTGGAAAGTAGATTTCCCAATTGTGTGATGGGACAGGAAAACCACAGCCTCGCTTATTTGTTTCTCTGTTTATAAAACTAAGGTACTCGTTATTAGTAATTCATCATTAACTGCAGTATCCTACCTAAGCATTCCGTTTAACCTGTTCATTAACTGTGCACTTTGTACACCCGCTGTACTGCCTGCATTGTGAGGTCCCTTTCACTTGTTTCAAAACATCATTCAGTATTGTCTGTTTCAGAGGAAGAGCGCAGCCAGTATCAGTAAAGGTAGGCTTTCTTTAACAAGTGCATTGTTTTTCTTTCTGCAGGCATTTTCTCAGTGCTCAGCTTGGCGTCTGAATGTACCACTCTAGCCGCTGAACTTCCCAAAGTGTCTTACGTGAAGGCCTTAGACGTCTGGCTGATTGTTTGCCTTCTCTTTGGGTTTGCATCCCTGGTGGAGTATGCGGTGGTTCAAGTAATGCTAAACAATCCAAAGAGAATTGAAGCTGAAAAAGCAAAGATTGCCAAGGCAGAGCAAGCGGAAGGGAAGGGTGGAAATGCTGCCAAGAAGAACACTGTGAATGGCACAGGGACTCCTGTTCACATCAGCACTTTACAGGTAGGAGCTGTGAAGCTGCATACGCAAAATCAGCATTAACCTCTATTAACACAAATTCAGGAATATACTGTCATAATAGTTTTGAATCGTGCTTAATCTTAGAAGTGGCCAAGACATCAAAAACGTGTTGGTAATTAATGGCTAACAATCTGACCAATTGGTCCCTAGTGATTTGGGGTCAGATGTACTAAATGAAAAAATTGTCTTTTAATATCCTAGCGCCATGGTTGCTGCTGATCTTCAGGTAAATAAAGTAGCAAGCAGCTTTACAATTGCTATTTTTTCTCATAATAAATAGCAGCTGTCAAACCATAGCTATTCAGAGGACAGGGCTCTCAGTCGGTATTTGCTGAGAGCATACTCAAATAACACCCATCTCATTGCTTTCCCCTGGGATAGCCACAGCTGCACCGCATTGCATGTCAAGCATTTCTGAAGCCAGAGATCCAGAAGTCTTGGAATCTGTAAACAAAACACAGGTCTTTTTGTCTGTTCAACAGTTCCTGCCTTTCTTGTGTCGCCAGACAGAGTTTCTGGGTAAACTGATCACATCTCAATATATGGATAAAGACATGATGTACCTCTTCACCCAGGTCCAAGTTTTCCATCCTCTTGCTAAATTCCTGGTGTTGTAAAACTCCCCGTTTGTGCTTCAAGAGTTATCAGACATCCCAGGCCTACTGGCCTTAGTCCTGAGTGGTGTTTAATTGACATTTATTCCACCAAAGAAAATTCGTTATGCTATGATATGCGGAATATAAATTTGGCTTATAGTTTTCAATGACTCAGCATTTCTAATGTATAAAATAAAGCTATTAGGGCAGATCCAAGTGATAATACTGGTTGGTGTCATACAATGCAACTGTAACATCTCTTAAAGGAGATGGTAGTTTATGCCAGAATGGTGGAAAGCCCCTTCTAGCATCAAGCTGGCATTGCACCATAACTAATTACCCCTAGTCTAGAGGAGCTGCAAATATTGTGAAGCAATGCACTTAACTACCGTAATTCTCATCTGGTCGAAGAGTCTTCTGGGAACTATTTTGACAGGCAACCAGACTCAGCTTACACTAGTCCCATGACTGCTTTGTTTTGTGTCACAAGTAATTCCCCAAGCCCAGGCAATACAGGAACTAAGTAGAAAGAAAAATGGCTCTGCTACAGTGTTGCTTCTCCTGTGCTGAATGGGATGCTTTCATGTTCAGCAATTTTCAGGCCCCAAATTCGGATGCTTCTTGTGACAAAATAGTTGCAACAATTCAGCAGAGCAGCATAAAATCTATTCATTCCCGTTTCAAGTACTTAGCAAGTCTAAGTGTTCAGTTTGACCAATGACAAGATTAACAAAAAGCTACAGTTTTTCAGTAGTGTGAACAAAATGGAATTGCTAAATTTTTGATTCTTCTCAGTGTGTACACTATTTAAGGTGCTTGCCATTGTCATAGGAGTAAGGAGATCAAAATAATAACTTTTATAACCTATGCTACCCTTTCATCTTTTAAATTTTTTTTTCAAGAAGGCAAGTTTGGGAGTGCAGTGCATTTTAAGACTTGGAGGAAGGGAAGTCATTGTCCACAAAAATTAAGCAATGTTCCCATGAATAGTGCCTAACAGTAGGCTGAAAGTTTTTAGGATTCAGGCTTTAGCCTGCCCTCTCAGATCGTGCAGTGTGTCCCCTCCACTATCTTGCAATGTCATCTCCAGCATCTCGTGTTTGACCTGTACTTTTCAGGGTCCCAATTTTTTGTCAGAGACCTTTAGCATTCTATTATCTATAATCTGCATCAGTAGTCTGTGTTGAATTTATGTGGAGTACTGGGCATGTGTAGCTTCTGTTGATACAGAGAGTTAACAATCATTTGTTTACTGAGACATACTGGAAACACATATTCATTGCTGTAAAAGCTGGTGATGTGGCTGAGTGGTCTCCTCTCCTCATGGCTAGTGATCCAGTTTGTATCCAGCCACCTGCTTTGAAGTATAGTCTACCTCAGGAAGAGTGCCTTGGGCTGGTAATTTCCAGAAAGATCACCAAGCTGAAACAGAACAAGGTCCCAGACTGATGAATCATTTGACATCAGGATGTGGTAGGACAGTGATACTAAATTTTATATATTTGGACACTATAAATCTGCCTAGCTGAAAACTGAATCAGCTACCGCGTAGGAGTGCTTTGAAAGTTCTCAGCCTTGGAGAAGCTTGTACTAAACTCTTAAAACAGAACGGGACTAAATCTTTCAGTAGCTCTGACTCCTAATCCAAAACTAGGCCTGCCTGTCAAAATGTGCATTGCTCCGGTGTAGACCTGGTAAAGACAAAGTAGAGAGTGCATTTGTCATATGGCAAATATGCAAGAGGGAAACCGTAAAGAACCAGATAATGGAAAAAACCCTGTATGTTGAAAAGCATAAAGAATATGAAACAAAAAGAGGCCAGAGTACTGTCCGAGAACTTCAGAAGGTGTTTCTCATCAGGGTCATGTAGTACTGCGTGTGGGAAAATACTCTGCTAAATGTCTGGAAAGACTTAGGTAAACCAATGTATAACTTTAGGAGTAAAGGACAACTTAGAACTGCATCCCTGAAACGCATATAAGTCTTCTAGAAATGTTTGAGAGCAGTCTCCTTCCATGTAGGAGGTGACGCTAAGGCAAAAGTGACTCAGGGTGTACCTGGAAACCTCACACCAGAGCTATGCTTAAAACAGTGGAGAGACCAGATGGGACTCAAAGGTAAAGCAAACAGGAAAGACCCAGAAGCAGAAAACTCCAAGTGAGAGAAAACAGAGAGCATGAATAATTGCATTTTTAAGTGTTTCTCCATCTTAAATGAAGCATTTATTATGAGACATAAATGGAATGGTAGTGATACCTAACTTTAAGTTATTAGAGGGGAATCAAGTTTAAAAAGGGAAATTACTTAATTTCAGTTTAAAATGTCCCTGATCCCAATGCTAGTATTCCACAAGCAGCAAATAGCACTCGGTGCCTGTTGCAGCTACGGAGTGTTGTGGCAGTGATGCCTCTGCAGGGAATTTGGGGAAGGGATCAATATGTAAGCTCCAACAGAGTTGCTGGGGTGGGAAGGTCCCAGACATGGGAAGGATCAAAGGCAACACAGGAAAGTAAGTGAGGCAGTTGGGCATCCCTGGTTCAGCCCTCATGGGACTCATTGTTATGTACTCGCTCCTTTCGTGAAAGATAAAAACGGCCTCTGGTCTGGAGACTTGGCATGTTTAATATTAGTTAAAAAAGAGCAGTAACAAAAACTCGTGATCATACTTAAAAATAAAAGCAGCTGTTGTTCCTTTTTTATGACAAGAAATTAAGGAGAGGGATAAACTTTTCAGTATATCCTAAGCATTAAAAGCTTGGTGCCATTCATAACTGAAGGTGAGGAGAAGAGATCGGTTTTCAGTGGAAAGCGCTTTTGGCAGTGTCAGTACAATCAGTGATCACGACCGACAGTCAACAACAGCGACTGTGATGATGGCAGGATGAAAACAGTGCTCACAATTTGACAGTCACCCAAAGGTGGAGAAAGGCTTCCATGGATGTATAGCTACTTCTCATCTCCACCGAATCCTGGGTACTGGCTGACGTAAAAGCTCTGTGTTGCCAGCATACACCGAACCCCTGAGTCCATGCTTCGTGACTCATGCCCCCTCCAACAAAAACTCTTGAAATGTCAGTGCCATTTTAAGCCCAGAGATTTATAGATATGACTGTCTGATTAAAGTCAAGTGGACCATCTGGCAAGATCACCCTGAATCTGTTGAAAAAAAGAGAAAATTCAACATAAGCGCTTCTGATGTGTTTTTCTAGGAGCACGAATGGCTATGCATTTACGTACAGGCAAGAAGCCATAAAAAAAGTACAGTTTGGCTCCCTCAGCTCATAGCAGCTGCAAGTAGATGCTGTTCTAAGCGGAGGAGAAAATTATGCAACCTGGTGGTAACTTCTGGCACTAGCTTTTTATTGGGAATCCTCAGTAGGAGTTTGCCTGTGTTTCCTAGCAATGCAACATCATATAGTGAGAAAAACAAGCAAAAAGGGAAATGTTTCGAAGATGAATCAGTTTCTTTTTGCTTTCAGTGGTGGTGTGATTACAGGGAGAGATTGCACTGTCAACTATAACAACACCTCTCCATTTGAAAAGTCATATTTTCATCAAGCCCTTTTATAGAAGCTGTCCCCCACAGATAATGTGCTGATTACTGGAGAGAATATTTGCTAAAAGAATGGCTCTGGTGGATGATGAATAGCACTATGCAAGTGATGGCAATAGCTCTAAACCCAGTTATTTTTAAAAAGAACTGCTATTGCTCACCTCGCTCTTGTCAGAACCACATCTTGTCAGAGCTCTGAAACTTGAAATGAGTTATGTTCTTCCCTACTGATTTATAATACACCTGACCACTGGCGGTGATCCGTGGTGACCTGATCCTCCCATATTGTCTTTTCCCCTGAAGTGGCACTCTGGGCACAGATTTTCCTTGTAGAACTGCCAGAAACCCAGTTTACATTTTACCTTGTACACAAAACCACAGGCTGCAGTCTACTTCAATAGTTTCTGACAGCATTTCAGGTACAGAGTAGGTACTTTCTGCTCTAGTGACTCACGTATCCATCCTTGGAGGTAATTCAGAGCATGACTGTAAAAAGGCTCCAAGGAATCTGCTTTAAGCAGGGGGCTGGGACTAGATGATCTCCAGACGTCCCTGCCAACCTCAGCTATTCTGTGATACTTTATGTACAAATATTTTTTGTGGTGTACTTTGAAAGGAATATTTAGAGTGTGATAGCAAATTCCTGCTCATGTGCACCACAAAATATACTCAGTCTGAATGCACATGAATACTATTGATGATCTACATCTATCATTATGGCAAGAGCAAGAGAAAAACACTAAACAAGTGCAAGAAAGATTAAGGACAGAGGTTGTTAGAAAACTCCTTCTTCAGCTTGTATGGGAGACTCTTAACACAATTAGCAGCAGTAGCAGCAGATCTGCATGCCAAAAAGAGGTTGGGTGCAACAG